TATATTATGCTTCAGACGTAAGGTTCATTATTATTATTATTATTATTATTATTATTATTATTATTATGATCTTTAAAAAATATTAACACTTTTCGTTCACCATGGAAACAGACTGCTAATGAACTAGCAACGAAATATGTTTCTGTTATTTTTTGAAAGCAAAGATTACATTATCTAATCAGTTATTGAAAAAAAAAAAACATAAACTAATTTTTCAAAAGACAATTTTGTTGGTAAATGCATGAAAATATTCCAACAAATTTTCCTAGTTGTAATTTATGACAAAAGTACCTTTAGAAAAAACAAATGTTGCTACTTCATCAATAGTTACCAACTATATACTAGTTCGTCAAACAATTAGCGATGGGAATTTGACATTCGAAAATCACGATAATCACAGTAAGATTTATCAAATGCCGATGACCACTCGAATTAAATTATTGGAACTAACACATTACGGAGATTTGTAGATTGACTTTTTTCATATGATCTATATATAGTGACTATTGCACAAAATTATAATCGTAGAGAAAACCTACGTATACCAAGACATGACATCTGTGGCATTTTAGCATATTTTCAGGTATATTATAAGAGAAAACACAGAATTCACATGGTCTTGTGCTTCAACACTGACGCAGAAATAAACAGGTGGTGTCCCCTATTTTTGTCATAGAATTTAAAGAAAAATCATGGTATAACAAATATTATTAACCTTAATTGAATAGTAATGGCTGTACCGAGTGNCCCCTATTTTTGTCATAGAATTTAATGAAAAATCTTGGTATAACAAATATTATTAACCTTAATTGAATATTGATGGCTGTCACGAGTGATTCTATACTTGTCTTCCCTGCTGGTTAAGTATTATTTGCTGCTTAACTGTTTAGATTTAGGTTATCAATATGCCATTAATTGAACTAAAAATAAACCACTTGAGTAGCGCACACAGGATATGAGAGAAACCAAGATAATTACTTGAATGTATGAGGGGATAGGGATGTGGCCATTAATTTCTCTCTTTCTTCACTAAACTAACGAATCACATATTTAACAAGGTGGATTGAAATATTCCGTAATTCTAAAGAAGAAGCAACGATTTAAAAGTTCAATTATATATGAATGATAAATAATTAATTATGCCAAAAAAAACCTAATAAACTAAGGGCGGTGCCTTTTCCCAAGCTAGAGCAGGGTTTCTTATTTTATTTTTTCTTTTTTTTTTAACATTCACAGAGAAATTTATTTTCCTTCTGCCATAGTTTTTTCTTGGTTTTGAATTTTACTTGAGATTTCTTATAATATTCAACTAGAGGGTGCAAATAATCCAGCAGCAGTGAAAAGACTTTTCCGTATACCTCGATCAATGCCTAGTTAGAGATTTTTGTTTCCACAGCCAAAATCAAGTGTTGAAGGATGGATACCACCACTCTCATCATACCCATCATTTGAAAAAAAAAAAAAAAAAATTATTGAATCTTGAAATCAGGAATGTATTCCATTTGTCCCTTCACAAAAATCCAATTGAATTTCGGTGTATAAAAAAGGACACTAAATATTGCTATATATTTATTGTCTTTGACCATCATCTTTCATTATGGATAAAAAAAAAATAAAAAATAAAAAAATAATAATAATAATCTTTACACCAACGTGAAAGAGTGACACCAATAAATAATCAATAGTATCAAATTCCAAATTGACAACTCCTCTAATAATGCAGAAAAGTACAACAACAACAACAACAACAACAACAACAATAATAATCATTACACTAACGTGAAAGAGTGACACAATAAATAATCAATAAGTATCAAATTCCAAGTTGATAACCCCTCTAATAATGCAGAAATTACAAATTGTATGTGTCCATTAAGCCCATCTTCCTAGCTACGAAGCCAGCTAATTGACTTAGTTATTTTCCACTTCCAATCACCTCACATGGATCTTCATATGGTTTTCTCTAATTTCTCTTAGAAGAAAAA